TTCTTTCACACTCCACACATGAAATTGAACACAATAGGCAGATCTAGCGTTTAAGAAAAAGTCTAAATAAAGTTTTAGCAGCAAATAGCTGTTACTAAGTAAACATAAAATAAGTTCCATTGATCTCTCGACAGCTCTATCAAGCATACGCTACATGATTTGTGTGAGTTAGAACTTATCCAGCTGCTGAAAACACCTGCTCATGTCAAGCAGATGTCCCACGATGCACAAATACTGTCATCCCAAATGGTTCCTTATCGTTGCAGCTCCCCTTGTAAATTGGATTTGCAACCAAAGCAGCGGGCGATGGCGCTTAGAAATCGAATAGATTTTGTTTTGATGTTGTTGGAAAGTTCTACTTGTCCCCATTAGCACTGTATCTGCAGTGGCACCCTCCACTGACACACAGCTCCGTTTCCTGACGTGGCTGTTTTGCTGGTTAGCCAGTAGTTTTTGAATGGCTAGCTAGCTTGTCTGGAAAGCTATTAGACAGAATGTTGTTGTTTGTGCAATATTAATCACCGACATCTCTACCTGCAACTGTACTGTTTTGGTTCACTCTCAATACGATGACCTTGTTTCTAGCCAGAGACCTTGAAAAAGCTGTTGAACGCTACCTGTCCTAGCAGATCGGCAAAGTTAGCGACTCGCTAATGAACATAGTGGAGGATTTAGCCCCTAGGAAGCCAGATTCACCCCAAGGAGGTGCAAACCATTGCATTTACATCCGTCACGTAGCATGACTAACAGGACCAAAGTAATGCTAATGTTGCTTTGTGTGAGCTGCATGTGTAAATAGGCAACTGTTAGCTAACGTTTGCCATGGCAGCTCTGTACAGTGATAAAATGCCTTCACAGGTAGTTCCGCTGCTCTCAAGTAGCCAAAATAAATTCATTTATACTGCTTTGAAGTTAGCCGTATTGCTCAGGGCTGTTAAATTTCCCTCATTAATAAACCTATTTTCAGATATGGCTGCTCCTCTCCTTAGAGAATCATCAGCACGTCATGTTATAATAAGACTGATGTTCAGAGGACAAACTCACTCTTGTTAGAAGAGTTTTGTGAGTGTTTTCAGGTCCTGGGAGAATGTCTAATCGTTAAAGATGGTCTTTTAGCGTTATTTGTTGCAAATTTTGTTCCTTTGGGTGCAATGCTGTTTACCTAAAGCCATATTGCTGTGATATAAAATCTCAAACTTCCTCTGGCTGATTGCATTTTAATCACAGTTGCGCCCGCTGTGGTCCTTGTTCAGAGGACAATGGCTCTAATAACACCTCTCAATGGTTAATCCTCATTCACTGTGGGCACAGGGGAGGCTCTCTGCTATATTCAATTAACCTGAGTTGACCATTGCAAAAGGTAAATAAGGTGGTAAATAGTGTGCGTGTGTGTCTTTGAACTTGAATGTGCAATAATAATTTCTTCACAATTATATTCATTTTTTTGTTTTTGTATCATGATTGTTCAAAGGCTTCATTAACATATTTTTGAACCCCTGGGACTAACTGACCTGTGAGTAGGGAATGTGACGAGCTTGGTGCATTAAAAATTTTAATTATAAAGCTGACACATTCTGCATTCTTGAATTAATCAAGATCATTTTTCGACATTGTTGGCATTCAAATGGAGAGTTTCCTGCATCCAGTCAAAATGTTAGAAACCTGTGCCAACAAACCATCAGTAAACTGTAGTGTAGCTTAAGCATTTTTGGCAAGGGACATCACCATTTTGTGTCCATGTATTGTTCTAAAATGAAGAAATGCCAGACAAGGAAATAGTCAAGGTGCCAAAGATGATGAAAGCCTTTTTTTGGTAAGTGCAAAACTCTCCTAAAAGCCCAAAAAATGCATTCTGTGATTACTCCAAAGTAAAGGAGACTGCACTTTCAGAGGAAAGAAAAATTCTTTCTTTGAGTGGTGGTTGCAGCGTGCGTTTTTGATTCATGCAATATTCAGCACTTCTGTTTGATAAGCCCTGAGTTTTACACCTTTTCCCACTTTCACCTTTAAGTAAATGACAGTTCTTATTTGCTGCGGTTAGAGTCTTTCATTTCTCGCACGTACATGAGTTTGAAAATTCTCAGTTGGATTTATGTTGTTTTGTGAGCTTTGAGATCATTCACCTGAGACCCCTCCTTATTTAGCAGACATTTCTCACTTCCTCTACATGGAGAGAGCTGAGCCTTCCTCACTCTACTCTTCTTCGCTTTTGGGGGAGTTTACCTTTCAGGGCATGTTGGAGCTTTTCACACATTTGGCAGGATACCTGTTGGCTGGAGTCTGTTTTTTTTCTGCAGTTATTGCTGCAGCCCTTGAGTTAGATGTATAATGTTGGCAAAAAGCATACACATTATGAAAGTGACAGAAACACTGACATGGTCTCATAATGTAAGTGGCCCTCACCTTGTAATGCTGCACAGTTCCCTAGGATATGGTGATGAATGTTTATAATTTGAATAATTATAGCCTGTAATTGAGCTGCATTTTATATATTTCTCTCTAGAATATATAGCATTTTCCCATGACCGGCGCACCTTCATTCAGGCACAGCAGCAGATAATTGTGAGGATGAGACTAATTTGCAGCAGCCCGCAGCAAAATAATAAAAAACAAAAATAAAAAAAGGTGCATCATCGGCTGTGTAGAACTATATCAGATTCAGAGATGATGACATTAATGAAGTAGCTACTAATCACTGGCAGGATGTCTTTTACAGCAGTGGTAGCACCGCAGGGCACAACAAAGCATCTGCACAAAGTATTCTAATGAAGGGAATGAAGTCACAGAAGACTACAGCACATACAGGGAGGGGAGCGTGGGTTAAGTCATATTGTAGTTCACAACAGTTTGGTCGATTTAAACAGCTGTTCTGGCTTGTTCGATTAGTTTGGGCTGTTGCGAAAGCTCCTAGTTGAAATCCAGTTCCGACAAAACAACCGGGCCCTGAAAAGGAGGGTCTCCGTATGCCTCCAAGCGTCCTAGAAGCAGACCAGCAACAGGACTTGGTGAAAGTACATATGTGGTTTTAGGGTAAAGCTATTCTTCTAAATCCATCCGCTGATTGCGAACTGCTCAGGAAGCAATCTTATGATAAGTAGTCTGTCTAAGCGGCATATAGCCTATACTTATACAAGATTAAGGTAACCATGGTAACATGAATGCACATCAGCACATAAGATCAGAATTTTCCATGTAATTTGAGAGAGTGAAAAGGAGTTAAAACTGTGATGTGCTTGTGTACTATACTGTGGATTTTGGAAGCTCCTAATTAAAAACCATGTGAAATATAGTGATCTAATACTACAGCATTAACAGCTCTTCCTGTTTCTAATATAAATGGCATTTATATAACGCTTTTATCTAAAGGACTTTACAGTTTGCCCATCATTCACCCCCTCACACACGCATGACAGCAAGCTACCATGCCATGTGCTAGTCAAAGATCAAACCATCAGCCCTGGGATTAGCAGCTGCCCCACTGTGTTTCTACATGTTGATCGGTCGATTTGCAGTTTAATAATACTAACGAATGATTAGTTGATGCAATAAAATCGTCGGGAGAAATAAATAATAGCCAATAATGGGAAATGTGTATTACTATAAATTATCGGGATAACTAAATTACAGACGATAAATTATAGGTTGATATTAATAATAATTCATTTTGATTTCTTATGCAAAACAATTGATAGGCTTTATGTTGTACAAAAGCCAAATTATGCTGGAATCGGAAAAAAAAAAATCATATTTTATTAATATTTCAGAACTGCTGTTTGTTGTTTTCGTGTTAACAACAGTGACTTCAGAATATGTTAGAACAGAGCTATAGAATATTTAATTATCCATCTTTGCTCACTACATGTGCATAGACTACAGGTTATGAACTGAATACAAAAATGTGAAATTATAGGTATCGGCCATGAGAAGCAGGTAATTGTCTGTTTTTGCATCAGCTGCAAACAAATCCATATTGTGCATCCCTACTCTTGGGCACACCAGAGAATGTTAATAAGCACATTAGAAGCAGTAACGTGACTGCTGTCAGTCACCAGAATTAAAATTGAACGGGTTCTTCTTTGGCTCAGGCTTCCACCAAGGTTCATGAAAACCGGGCCAGTAGTTTTTCCCGTAATCCTGCTGACAAACAAACCAGCAAACAGGCACTGTGTTTTCAGTGTCTTTTCACCCAGAGGTAGACAATAAAAACCTGAGATAATATTATGTTTAAGAATTGCACATATCCCCCTATATATAATATCACATAATAGAACATAGCCCCCATGGGATTCTACAGTGCTGAAGATGCTGTTGGCATTCATCAAAACTGTTAACTGCTCTTGGTTGAGGTGTGAAAGAACCCTTAGTGTACTTTCACACCTGTAGTTGGGTTCATTTGGTCCGGTGGAAGGGGAAAAAATGATACATTGTTGCATTATAGTCCTGGTTTGGTTCATGTTTACCCAGACTTTTTACAAACAAAACGAGGAATAAACAGGGAGGTCATACAGACTGACAGATAGCTCATTGATTGGACAGTTTTGGTGATGTCATCATGCATCAGTTGACAGCTTGCACACCAGCCCAAACAATCTGCACTAAACTGGCCAAAAGCACTGGAGTTTGTTTTAAGTGAACCAAACAGGTATGGCGTGAAAGCACCCAAAGACCAAACTGAGAACCAGATAAGTAAAGATGATTGCTTTTTAAATTACTACTTTAAAAAATAAGGCTAAATGCAATAGACAATACATTTTCAAGAACCATGATCTTGACCTTGAGTTGATTGTCATTGAAGTCAGAATTGCACCGCAGCAGCATTTTTATCTGTGTTGGCATTATCCCTACCATCATTCAGTATAAAACAGTTCCTCCAGTGTTTTTGTCACTGTGTGTGATGCCACAGTTTCACAGACTTGCTTAGATAAGGAGGAGTACATGATCTTCACATAATACGCAGTCTTCTTCTCCTGGTGTAAACTCATTCTGTGTTTCTCTTACAGTCTCTGTCAGCAGCATGGGCCAGCATCTAGGAAAGAGGGAGTTACCCACAGACAGCAAGGTAAGAGTTCTCACTGTAGGTGCTTTAATACCTTGTTTTGTGCACATGGAATAATAACATCTTGAAATGTGTGTGTAAGCATTTTGTCCTTTGGGATCTGAGAATGAAGCATGTGTTAAAGTATTTTCTTTTAACCTTATCAGTGTGAACACTGGCCTTTATCAGCAGAACTTTGGACTCTTGTAGACAAGCTGCCAGGCTCCTTCACTCACAGATTTATTACCTTCGCTGCGCTTTCAGTCAGTCTGTTAACCACTTCACAGTATGCACGTCTTGAATGTCTTTGGAAAAGTAACTTGCCATGAAAGTTATAAATACTAAATTCTTCACAGGTAGTGTATTTATCTCTATGGTATATGCACTGAATGTTTTTTTTATGTTTACAACTGATATTTCTGAGGCGCCTACGTGTTTGTGGTTACAACTGCTCACTCTCTTGCCTCCGGCGCTTGGATCACAAAACCAGGTTTTGTGATAATCGCACTGCCACAGGCAACACTTTATACCCATTGCTCAAATGTACTGAGAAGCTTTAATCTATGAATAATGCAACGTCTCATTACTTCATACAGATATTTTTGTTGTGGAGAGTAGAGGAGGGATGAGGAGATGACTTTGCAAATTCTGCCTGTAAGTTTTCTGTAGGTCTTTAGCTATCCATTATTTTGTCTGTAAGGCCACTGTACTGGAGTAAGGACGACGTGCAGTGTGAAATAAAAATGTACCTACTCTGTTTTTCACACAATTTACTATTATATTCTTTATCTAAATAAGTGCTGCAAGATGTTAAGAACTACTGATGCACTTAAGTTAAGTGATTTTGTTTTGCACGGTACAGTAAATGAAGGATTTTAATTTGAAAAATCCTGCACACTGACACATTTCTGGATAGTCAGCTTCTTAATGTACCTCAGCGTAGATAAAATGGCTGGCTGAAAAACATTTTAGAGATACAATTTTGCACACTGCATCTTAAACAATCGCTTTTCTGCAGCCGTCAGCATCCCACTCTTAATTGAGCCGTGTTGCCATGGCAACATCCCAAGCACGACGAGTCTCTCCGTGGCTCTTGTGCGTCGCCCTATAATAAACCCTCGAAAACCACAAGCCTCGCCGCAACAGCGCTCCACAAGAGAACCCATTCGAACTGGAGAGAGTAAATAGATGATTGTGTGCATCAAGGCTGACACTAAACCCTCTCTGGTACACATCTCATTTAACCATTAGCTTTGGCCCGGTGATCATCAGCACTGTTTGGCTACACCAACAAATTTCAGACATTGATAATTGACCATCCATATAGCATCCAAATCATTATTTCCACAGCAACAACAATCTATCACTCTCAGAGTCCACCTAGAAATCACTGATTTTATGCAACTTATCTATCCCCAACAGAAGTGAGAAGTGAGTGGATTGGTTTAATGTTTCAGTGCACTTACATGTTATCGTGCTGTTGGGTCAGATGTTGTACTTAAAACAGCAAACTGGATTAAAGTCTCAGACAGCGAGACGTTTTTGTTGGCTGATGGATTGTGTTCGCTGCTGTTCTAGGACTTTGTTCTGTCAGCACGTGGGCAGAGTTGTTGCAACAGGAGCAATTATTGCACTTGAAAGCATCAGGATGGATCAGTGAGTTTGCGCTCTAAGGTTGAGAAAAATAAACCCTTTCATATCAGTGCCTTAGCACAAACAGAAAGTATGATCAGATATGAAATAAATAAGAAGGTCCTGCGACGCTTCAAGCGTCGCAGGACAGGCTTTTTTAATTGGCTGAATAGCAAGGTGCTCCGCTGTGCCCCGGGGCTAGTTTAACGAAAAATGGCTGCCTCTAATCGTGCCGTAATTAAATAGAGCAAATATGTTTGAGAGATGTTTTATTTCTTTTTACTCATCTTTCTGTTCTGTGAGCGCAGAAATTACAAGCCAGACGCTGTTCCTGTACCCTGAGCGTGGAGGAGGATCAGGCTTGAACTGGGACAGTAATGTAATTTAACAACATCATTAACCCCAGCCTCGCTCAAGTCCTTTTTGTCACAGCTTTTCAAAATTACAGCAGATATAATAAGTTGGGGCCATTATGGCTGAGGCTGCAATGAAGAGGTTGCTTGCTTTTTGTGAGCAGCCCTAACCCCAGACTGTGACCAAGGAGGTGTAGTAAAGGAAGGAGAGGGGGAAAAAAAGGGCACTGTTCAAAGTCACCATTTGAGGCTGTGGGCAGCAGCTTTAGAGCCTGTGGTTTGCATGTGTGGCCTGGCTTGCGGCTGGCAACCTGGCCAGTGCCTGTAATGGGCGGAGTGATCATGTCGGCGTGGTGGGGAAGAGGGGAGCCCATACCAGCGGGAAGGCCGGTAGCTCGGCTCACAGATGATTTGTTTCCTTTGCCTGTAAAGCACACTCTGGAGAGAGAAGAGCAGGAGCAAGAGAAGTGGATTAATTTGTCAAGTGTGAAGCTGCCAGGGGAGGTGTTAGGGCAGCATGTCGCACTAAAGCTGCATTGTTTATTTAGCTTTATAATTACGTTGTATATCTCTCTAGGTCTACCATTTGTTTTTCCCTTTCTTTTGGCTTGATTATTGTGGCATTAAAGTCAATTTAAAGGTCTGGCAAAACAGCCAGTTGTCATAGTGACAGTCAAGCGGGAACAGAGCGTGACGGAGTAAGGCAGGTTGTGTTTAGATGCTGTTGTCTGAGTCGTGATCCTTCTCCCAATCCCTTATCATTTCTTGAAGGGTAAAATGTACCCATACCTCCTTTATGAAACCTCAACAGGAGCTCTGACACAATGCTTCTCTTTCAGCTGTCTGTTATGTTCACACCGCTGTTATTTTAGAGCCTTAAATCCCACGTGGTATTACGGGAGAAAACCACCGGTCTTGCTGGTCAATGTAGTGTTTTTGCCAGAGTACAAACAGAAACATGAGTTTGCTCAGATGTTCCCAAATGCAAACATGTCTTCACTGGTTAGTGTATATCATAAGATTTTGGAAAAACTTTATACACAGATACCTTTCTATCAGAACCAGCATTAACTGTTTCAGCAGTTTGAGCTACAGTAGCTCGTCTGTTGGATCGACAGCCTTCGCTCCCCACGTGCATCAATTAGTCTTCTTAGTCCATAATCCTGTCTCCGGTTCACTGCTTTTCCTTCCTTGGAGCACTTTAGATAGGTACTGACCTCTGCAGACCGCGAACACCCCACAAGAGCTGCAGTTTTCTAGATAGTCTGATCCAGTCGTCTGGCTATCACAATGTGGCCCTTGTCAAAGTCACTCAAATCCTCACGCTGCCCATTTTTCCTGCTTCTAACACATCAACTTTGAGGACAAAATGTTCACTTGCTGCCTAATATTTCCCACCCACTGACAGGATAACCAGATAATCAGTGTTATTCACTTCACCTGTCAGTGCTCATAATGTTATGGCTGATTGGCATAGATACTAGATATTAGGGATGCACGATATATTGGCATTAATATCGGTATCGGCCGATGTTCGTCATTTTTTAACATATCGATGATATCCACAACCGATGTATATCCTCTAGTTGCTGTGTGTCGGGAGAGGGAGAAGGAGGGGGAGGGGGAGGGAGATTTGGCCATGTGTATTTGTTTGGGCACGCGACAGTAGCAGCACAGGATTGTGGGATGTTAAACTGAAGAGGAGAAAAAATGTCAGCGGTGTGGACGTTTTGACTGCATGTTTGCTACGTGGAAAATTACAGTGCAAGTTGAAAAAATGTGCACTAACAGTCAGGACATGTTTTGGATATTTTGATTTAGCCGTTTTCACAGATTTGAGTTTAATTGGAGTGCACAGAGCTGATAACATGGTGCCATGAGTACTGGCATGTTTGATAAGTGGTAAAGGTTGGTTACTTATGTTTTATGGTAGCCCTTTAACCTTGTTATTTGGAAGTAAAATACGTTCTGAAAATAAAGGAAGACTATCAAAAATTCAGTTTGCATGATTTTCAGTCTGTACAAAATTTTGTCATCTCAGAAACTTAAAAAAAAAAAACACATATCGATATCGGTAAATATCGGTTATCGACCATAACAACAAAATTAATATCGGTATCGGCCAAAATTTTCATATCGGTGCATCCCTACTAGATATGTATATCTTCATTCACAGGGGAGAGCAGAATAAGAATAAGGAAACTGCCCTGCTCGTCCACTATATAACATTTTTCTCTGGATGGTGTGTCATCAACACGAAATTGCAGAGGCACAGAGTATGCTCTGATCTTGCCAGATTCAGTCGTCACTGTGGGCAAAGCCCCTTCAGCAAATACACCAAAGGTAGACTGTCACTCACTGAAGTCATTTTATATTGCAGTTTGTGTAGTAACTAGTTGTACTAAAAAAAGAACAAAACACAACTAATAATACACAACCACTGTTTTAAAATAACCTCCATTTACAATGTACCGTGCCTTTCTGACGCTATTATGTTGTTTGTGCAGATTACTGGCCAACCCTAGACTGATGTGACACATCATGTCGAGATATTTCCTGCCCAGCTACAGCGAGAGGAATCAATTTTTCAGCAATATCTCACATCAGCAGTGAAGAAAGGGTTGTGGTATAAAGCCCTCAGAGTCAGAGCTCAGCAATCAGAGAGAAATCCAGTGTAGCAAAGACAGAAATACCAATTTCAAATGTGTGACAAAACCGCATGATGATGAAGTACTGTAGTGAGTAGTAGTAAAGTTCCACAAGAAACAACATGAAAAAAATAGTCCCCAGAATCAAACCTACTACTCTCGTAGAGTCTCTCTTGCTACATGATTGCTATTGCTATAACTATTACCAGTGCACTCTCCACCTACAGGTATAACCAACAGTTCACATTCTTTGATGGTGTTGCGAGTCCTTCTGGGAAATGTAGGAAATCCCTAATGTTTTAAAGAGTTCGGTCTAGACCTGCTCTATTTGAAAAGTGTCCTGAGATAACTTCTGTTATGAATTTGCGCTATACAAATAAAATTGAATTAAATTGAAATTGAAATT